ATCATCCAGCCAGCTTTCATGCTTTAGGTGGGACTAAAACTCACAATCTCTTGCTGATTGGCCCAAAGTCATCCAGGCGGGATTAGAACTCATGCTCTCCCACTTTCTAGCCTAGAGTAGACCAAACCAGCCAGAAAAAAAGAAAATTATGCATTCCTCATAAGTGAAGGCAGGACGAGAAGCAACGGATGGAAACTAATCAAGGAGAGAAGCAACCTGGAACTAAGGAGAAACTTCCTGACAGTTAGAACAATTAACCAGCGGAACAACCTGCCTCCAGAAGCGGTGAATGCTCCAACACTGGAAGTTTTTAAGAAGAGACTGGACAGCCATTTGTCCGAAATGGTGTAGGGTTTCCTGCCTGAGCAGGGGGTTGGACTAGATGACCTCCAAGGTCCCTTCCAACTTTATTATTATTATTAAGTCATCCAGCCAGCTTTCATGCCTCAGGTGGAACTAGAACTCACAATCTCCTGATGATTGGCCCAAAGTCATCCAGGCGGGACTAGAACTCATGCTCTCCCACTTTCTAGCCTAGAGTAGACCAAACCAACCAGAAAAAAAGAAAATTACGCATTCCTCATAAGTGCAGGGTGGGAAATGCACAGCCCTGCTCATTCCTTGGCCTTTTCAAAAAGGAAGCATCAAAACTCTAACTGGAGTGTCCCGTCTCTCTGGGTTCTTTTGCTGGCCAGCAAGAAGAGGAAGGGAGAGTGGGAGAAAAAGGCCTTAGACAAAAGGAAGGGTTACTGTAGTCTTTTTTGGCTCCAGTGGCTGAGACACGATTTCTAAAGCGGATTTCTCTGCCCCTCCGGAATTCCATCAAGCAAAGGGCTTCTCTTACCTCTTTGGCACACTGGATATCCATCATGAAGTGATGGACATGTTTCTCTGCTCTGGTGAATTCCAGTTTATCTGCAGCCACGGCCACAAGGAGAGCTGTGCACCCCACTCCCTGGGAAGAAATACAAAAGTGGAGAATAAGAAAGGTTCTTTTAAATTTTTTTATTTTTTTTTTTTAAATGCATGGCTTATTTACTGTTGTAAGTCGAAGAAGTACCTGTATCTACAAATATATATTGGTAAATATATTTTGCCACCTCGTACCACGTTTCTCACTGTAAGATGTTGTCTGTGTTCCTTACCATGACACCAGTGAACAAACACACAACTTTCCCGCAGACTGTTTCGGGCACCACGTCTCCGTAGCCGATGGTCAGAAAAGTGATGGGAATCAACCAGAATGTCCCACCCAGGTAGTTGTTCTCATCCATATACTGCCTGGCAGATCAAATAAGAGAGAATCAACATGTGGATAGATCCGTGCTCATATTTATCTAGGGACGTACAGGTAGTCCTCCACATACGATCGGGGCCAGAATTACCGTTGCGAAGCAAGGCAGTCGTTAAATGAGGCAGTTCGTAATTTATCACCACGACGGGGACCAGACTTTTCATGGCTAAGCAAGACAGTTGTTATCTGAGTCACACCCCTTTTTTGCCATGATTGTTATGCAAATCACCGCAGTTGTTAAATGAATCATGTTGTTCAGCAAATCCGTCTCTCTCGCCTCCCCCAATTGACTTTGCTTGTTGGAAGCTGGGTGGGAAAATTGCAAATGGCGGTCACGTGACCTTGGGACACTGCCAATAAATACATGCGGGTTGCCAAGTGCCCAAATTTTGATCACGTGACCCCAGGGATGCTGCAACGGTCACAAATTCAAGGAGCAATCATTAGTTCATTTTTTTCAGTCCTGAACAGATGCTAAATTAATGAAGGTCAGTTGAGGACTACCTGTATTATATCCCAGTTAATTGTTTGACCTGAAGCAACTAAGGATGGTGTAAAAAAAATAAAATAAAATAAATAATAAAACACAACAAAACAATAACATGATAAAATAAAATAATGAAGTGAAATAAAAATATAGTATAAAGTAATAAAATAAAGCATTCGAATGCACAAATCCAAATACATCGGTAAATGCAGGTTGGCTAAACCACAGCAGCTTGAGTTCGGTGGGGTTTTTTTTTTTTTTTTTAATCAAATCAACATTTTTAAAGAAAATAAAACAGTCTTTGTCTGATGACCAAGCAGTTAATAATAACAATAACAAGCCTAACAGTGGATAATATTGGTGTTCCAACAGAATCCTCACCGTTCACAGACGGACAGTATCCAAAAAGCGATGATCCAGAGTCCCATTGTAAAGATCAGCAGCACACGCCCCGGCTGGCTGTTGACCATCACCCGTAACACAAAAGGGTACTGGAAGTGGATCTTGTTGAGGGACCCGATGCTACGGTAGGAGGCATCTCCCATCACACTACTCCGCATTAGCACAGCTCGAGGGACCAGATAGAGGCGGAGGAACATCACCAGTGAGAGCAACATGTCAACATCGGAGAGGAAGACGAGGGTCTGTTCCGACTTGGGATCCAGGCAAACGAAATCTCCCACCGGGAAGGGGTGAAGGAAGCAGACTAAAAGCTCCAGTGTGATGAGAGCCAATTTCGGGGTGCTGACTGCAATTCGCCAATCGGTGAGGGAATTGTCCAGCATGAAGAGCTAAAAGGCAAAAGGAACATGAGAGCATGAGTGAGCCGGAAGCAAAGCCAGGGGTTTCCTCTGCAAGGCATTGTCCCTCTGCTGGAATTCACTGATGGAATGTATTTCTATGCAACAACTACTGTACAGGTGAAACTCGAAAAATTAGAATATCGTGCAAAAGTTCATTTATTTCAGTAATGCAACTTAAAAGGTGAACCTAATATATGAGATAGACTCATTACATGCAAAGCAAGATAGTTCAAGCCGTGATGTGT